TAGCCAGTGGTGGAATTCTGAGTGCTCTCGTGATCATAGACGACGACAAGCGGCTTGGAAGCAGCTAATTCATAATCAGTCCCCCAAAAATTGGGCAGATTACAAGTTTATTGCTGCTACATTTAAGCGCACCGTGGCTAAAGCTAAAGAAGACTATGACAAAAAACATTTCGACTTTCTTTCCAAACCTAGAAATAAGAAAGCGTTATTCCGATATATGAGATCGCGCAAAATTCTGCCGTCTCTAGCTAACTCTGATTATGACAGGTTATCGACGGAAGAAATGACTAATTCGTTAGAGGCAATCGGAAGAGGTTTAGCTAACAGATTTTCGTCGACTTTGACAATCAACTGGCAAAAGTCCTCTATAAAGACTGACTACGAAAAAGTGACATTGTCCGAAATGTCAAGCGTAATTAGAAACTTACCCTCTTCGGCTCCTGGTCCTGACGGTATAACAGTTCCTATGATTAAAATTTTATTCCAGATATCACCCGGCGACGTCCTCAACCTTATAAACTATTCCTTAAGCAATGCCTGGATACCACATGACTGGAAAATAGCTAGAGTGATTCCCATATTAAAAAAACAAGGGTCAGGTTTTAACATTGACAACATCAGACCAATCTCTCTAACATCTCACCTGATCAAAATTATAGAGAGAGTTCTCAATAATAGAATAAAAGTTTGGATGGCTGACAAGCTAATATTGAAACCATTTCAAATAGGTTTTCGTAGCGAATGCTCAATTTGGTGTGCTCATGCCGACTTAGAGAGCCGAATACAGCTTGCCCGAAAAAGACGACAATACGCGGTACTAGTAACACTAGACATAGCTAAAGCTTATGATAGCGTTGAGCACTCAATTTTATTGAATTCTTTACACGAATGTGACTTTCCGCGTTATATTGTTGATTGGGTAGCAGAGTTTCTAAAATCGAGAGAATTTTATTGTGCAAAGGATGGATGTCACTCATCTAAATTCAAACAGCAACGTGGAGTACCTCAAGGGGCGGTCCTATCTCCGCTGTTATTCAATGTGTTGATGAGCTCAATTCCCATTGAACGAGATATCACTGTCTACATTTATGCAGACGACATTGCATTTTTCGTTGCAGATAGTGACATTTATTCTTTGCATCAAAAATTGCAAAAGTACATGTATTCTCTTGAAATTTGGCTGCATTCAATTTCATTGTCTCTAAACATAAGTAAAAGTGCGCTCCTGGTGTTCCCTATAGCAGATTCTATTCAAATTTCAGTACTTTATAATCAGGAACCGATTCCACAAGTAGAGTCTATCAAATATTTGGGCATTATTTATAACGAGAAACTTAACTGGAGCCCTCACATAGACTATAACGTGGCAAAGGCACAACGAGCTTCAGGCTTATTGCGAAGGTTGAGCAACAGAAAATATGGGTTACGTAGACACACCTTATTAATGATATATAAAATGTACATGCGCCCAATACTCGAATTTGGGTGTATATTATTTTCGGGTGGCCCTACGTACAAAATTAAACCGTTAGTTCTATTAGAGCGAGAAGCGTTACGGTTGTGTTTGCGACTCCCCAGGTATGTCGCTATTAATGTACTATATCAGGAAGCTCGCATACCAACTATTCTTTGCCGATTCCGTATCTTAACAGTACAAACATACTTGAAATTTTACGGCTTATCAGCGAGACGGTCTGCATATGCCTTTATTAGTGACCCCGACGCCTTCTTCCTCGCTCACTGGCCACGCTTTCGTACTCCCCAGATTATTTTTGTACAAAAGAAACTTGAAAGCATAAAGGTGGATATCAGATCGGTAATTGGAACCAAAGCATTAAATCACAATATTACGATAGAATGTGATGAAATTTTTCCCCCACTATCTAAGTTTCAATCTTCGAGTTACTTAAATGACAGGTTAGAAGACTACATAGCTCATGCGGAAATAAAGAACATAATAGCCACAGACGCTTCTGTGAATAAAGAAAAGGCAGCAGTAGGAATCGTCTCAGATTACCTCGGTTGGTCATTCTCGGTAAGACTACCAGACTTCACTCCGGTTTTCGAAGCTGAGCTCCTGGCTATTATTTTAGCGCTACGAAAACTTCCTTCAAACGAAGAGAGTGCAATGATAATTACTGATTCTCTTTCGCTGTGTACTACTCTCACAGCTTCAGAACAATCAAGAGCTCTAGCGACATTACAAACATTAGTTCCACCTCATGTGAAGTTCCTGAAGTTAGTCTGGGTCCCGGGACACTGTGGCATACGGTTGAATGAAATAGCCGATTCACTATCTCGAGCCACACTTGATGGCCCTGTGATCTCGGTACTACCAGAATCGGAACACATAGTGTCGATCAGATATAGAAAATGGGCTATTTATACGGATATTATGGAAAATATTACTAAATATACGGACTATCAGCACCTAACATACCCCTGGAAACCTCAGTGGAGTCAATCTAAAAAGTTAGAAGTTATTTTAACCAAATTTCGATGTCGTGTCCCTCCATTAAACTTTTACTTGCACAGAGCTGGTCTGGCGATATCCCCCCTGTGTCCATTCTGTGAAGAAACGGAAACAATAGAGCATTACTTTATAACATGTAAAAACTATTCATTAATTAGGAAAAGACTTTTAATTGTTCCGTTTCAAGCAGTAGGTTTAAATTTAACTGCAGATAATGTTCTAAGTTTCGGTGCCTTTAGCTTGGGACATTGCCACAGGAGCGTATTCGATGCTGTATGCAATTTCATTCGAGAATCAAAGCGCATGTCATAATAATGCCTGCTTAAATATATTTCTGAAGACACTTGTCTAATTTTGAATGAAATTTGCATATTCATTTGATTGTGACCGGGTGAGATAAGCTCGATTGTCTGGTCTACTCAAAATTTCTGTCTTCCACTGTAGTATTACCTCACCTTTTCTCTTCTTGATTCAATCTTCAATTATTTGTTTAGTTTAATATTCCTTTTTAGTTAATTATTATTTTCTATTACATCATTAGTTTTTTCATTAAGGATAAACCTTTTAATATATCTCATATAGGATACTTCTAGATTTCATGGCCAATCCCCCATAGTGGGTATGTGCCAGTGCGAAGGGGCAACAACAACAACAGAACGCACTCGTCGCCCAGAGCGAGAGAGGAAGAAGAGGATCAGGAGGATCTTTAACCAGTCGGCCGCTTCTGAGCTGCCCCTAACGACCTAATAAACGGCCCCTTTCAACGTCTACCAGTCTCTTTCAAACGTAACAGAGTGGTGGAGGTGCTGAGTAAGCGCTTCAACTACGGAACGATCACTGCCACAGATTCGACGAAGCCGTCGACTTGTCGGTCTCCCACCATCTGCCGTGAGTGACTTCGACATGCCCGAAGAAGCAGGCGTTTCCAGAACGGCACCATCTGGCCCGCCTCCGTACTACCGAATTCCACCGCCCTTCGGAGGAAAAGCCGAAGAAGATGTCGACGCCTGGCTCACCAAGTACAAACGTGTGGGCAAGTCCAACGGTTGGGATGCAGCCGCTATGCTAGCCAACGTAGTGTTCTCCTTGACCGACACCGCACTGGTATGGTACGAGAACCACGAGGACGCACTCACGACGCGGGATATTTTTGTTGAAGAGCTCAGGGCGTGTTTCGGCGACTCGGTTGCTAGAAAGAAGTGGGCTGAGCAAACACTGTCGCAACGGGCACAGCTACCAGGTGAGACATGCACCACTTACATAGAAGAAGTGTTAAGGTTGTGCAAGGTGGTCTGCGCTACCATGTCGGAAGAGGACAAAGTTGGGCATCTGCTCAAAGGGATCGCTGAGGACGTGTATAATTTTCTAATTGAAAAAGAAAGCCTCAGTTCTGTGTCCGACGTCATTCAGCATTGCCGAACGTTTGAAACACTCAAGATGCGTCGAATTGGGCCCAAGTTTGGTAGGCTGGCTAACGTTACAACTGTTGCCAGTGTGGACACGAATCCTGGCCTCGACCTTTTTTCTGCCATTCGACAGATTGTTCGTGAGGAACTGTCACACCGAGAAATGTCGTGTTCGACAGCTGACCATCGTGAGTTGTCTCTACCACGCGAGGCTATGGATGTACCTCCTTTGACCCCATGGCAACCGGCGATGAGCGCGGCAACTGTAGAGTACAGCCCAGCCCCACAATCAAGCATGACAACCAGATTTCCCGCGTCGCGGTATGACCGACGCTCTCAGCGCATGCCTCCTCGACACCCGACGTCTCGGTACGACGAGCGACCAACGTTTCGACCTCGGCCGGTGTGCTATTCCTGCGGTGTGCCAGGCCACATATCGCGATTTTGCAACCGTCGGGTGACTCCTCGATATCACCAACCATCTGACTTTTCACGACCCTTCGAACAGCCTCATGGTGTCCGGCCGCCGGCCCACATACCTACTGATGACAACTATTGGCCCAGCAACTTCCGCAACATCTCCCCGGCATCTGACAGGAGTTTAACGCCTCCACCACTCTGTTACGTTTGAAAGAGATTGGTAGACGTTGAAAGGGGCCGTTTATTAGGTCGTTAGGGGCAGCTCAGAAGCGGCCGACTGGTTAAAGATCCTCCTGATCCTCTTCTTCCTCTCTTGCTCTGGGCGACGAGTGCGTTCCCCGTATACGCTTCTTCGTCTTCGTGCATGCACGCAACAATATATATATATATATATATATATATGTTTACGATATGTGAGATAAAAAAAACTGTGCATAGTGATTTGGCTTGCAAAGTTTTATTTTGTACTACTCTCTTTACCGAGGTCCCAATTATTTAAGGCTCCATGCTGCCTAGAGACGACTGCTTGTTGTCGTTCCAGCTTAAAACCAACATCTTGTTGCTTTCTGCGTACTTCTATCGAAACGTTCTCTCTTTCTGGGCCATTTCTACTGCCTTAAAGCCCGTCTTCCCACACCGTTTCATCTTACTTTTGCAGAGGCTTGCCTAAAATAAGCAACTTCTTTTTCCGGCTCTTGCAGGCATTCCTGGGGACATGCGCAACTGCCCAGGAAGACACGGCCGTCTCAGCAAAGATTGGTGAGTCGTGTTAACTTGTCTAAAAACGTTTCAAAACTTCTAACAGATACTCAAAGCTCGCTGAAATTGCCATTTGATGGTTCTGTAACAGCAAACACTTGCATGAAACACGCAAGATAGGGAGCAATAAAGCAAGGAATGACATATTCGTTAATTTTAGGGCTCGTAATTCGAATGACCTCAGCACATTGTTTACTACCTGAGTGCATTGTGTAATCCTATGATAACTAAGCAATCAACGGATGATGTCCCACATCTGCTATGAATTTCGTTGTCAAGTGCCGGTGGAAATGGGAAGCCGATGAACTTAGTTTCCACCTTTTGAAAGAAGACTTTTGAAAGTCTGGTGCAGAGGAGAGTAATATGCGCTGTCCTCTCCTTTGTTGAACGGGGGGGGGGGGGGGGGTTGCTAGGGGCGGCGTACTAGAAAATAATAATTTTCATATCGCTGTTCAACGTAAAAAATAAAGCCACTTACAAAAGTGTCGACATCATCTCAACATATTTGGAGACGATATAGCTGACTTGACGACAGCTCAAAATACACTAATTTTTGACGGATCGCTCTCAATTTACAAGCCTCTTTTATAATATCCAAGATGTGAAGGCTATTGTGGATTTTAGTGAAAACAAGCTGTCCTTCGAGTTGAATAGTAGGTATCTTCGATTGAATGAACTACTACAGGGAAGAAGCTAGAATTCTTTTTTTTTGGGGGGGGGGGAGGAGAGGTGTGCATGCTATGCTCTGACATAGCATGTGCCAAATGTAGGCGGCTGTCTCAACTGTAATGCAATTACGAACAAAGCTATATTTTGCAGCACAAGCCTGCGGCTTGCTTTGTAGCTTACCCCTGAATGCCTGTGAGACAGAGTTATTAGCCCGGCTTTGTATGTCGCAGGAACCCGTGCAGATCATGAAACATTGCTCGTGTGATTTTCACGTTTGCTTAGTCAATTACCTTGATTTTTTCTTCATCGCATTATCTGACCAGGCATGCTTTCATCCATCTCTTGATTACAAAACACATGCCGTTGTAATAAACCTGGAAAGTACCACTTGAAAACATCATTTTGTAGATGACCTAATGTCACAGTATCTACGTGCTACCAACGTAAGTACATTTCGAATGCTGAAGCCGTATATTTTCATGGACTCGAGACGTGTATGAAGGGAGGAGACTGTATGTTCAAGATGAAACTGTTTATTTGGATAAACTTGTGGCCGTCAATTAGAAATCTTTGATTACAGTGATCTACACCAACACTGATAGCGGCGAACCGAGCATCGGCCGTCGATCAACTGATCATTACTGGGACGTCTTTTATAGATCTTGCGTTGACCTCTCCAGGCATATTTTCAGGTGGTCGCGGAATCTCTGAAATAATCTTGAGTGTTCGCGAATTGTGCGCAATACAAACAAAATATTATACAGCAAACGTGGAGGTTTTCGAACACTGATACGCAATCCGCTACAGGTACGGCTCATAGGTTTTGTGAATTTCAACCGAGCACTTGATTGATTGATTGATATGTGGGGTTTAACCTCCCAAAACCACCATATGATTATGAGAGACACCGTCGTGGAAGGCTCAGGAAATTTCGATCACCTGGGATTCAATAACATGCACCCAAATCTGAGCACACGGGACTACAACATTTCTGCCTCCGTCGGAAATGCAGGCGCCGCAGCCGGGATAGGATCCCGCGACCTTCTGGTCAGTAGCCGAGTACCTTAGCCACCAGACCACCGTGGTGGGGCATTCAACCGAGCGCTTCAAAGGAACAGTTGCGGCAATACAATTTTATAACATATGACAAAGAAAATCGCATCAATTACTTTCGTATAGCGTTACACAGTTACAATCATAGAGTGAATGACAGATTTTGTTTGAAGAGTTGCTCGTTGTGGCAAGCCATATTTAGGTTGTGCACTGATTACTGCGGCTTCAACCAGCCCAAGCAACCATTCCTTTGCTCATGAGACAGGGAGATACAAAAGAGAGCTCACAATCATTGAAAACAGTCGTGTCACTGTGGACCATAGTCGTGATGTTTATGTCATGGCATAACAAAATGTTATGAATGCATCCCTGCGTAATTAACTTGTGTGACCATCATAGGTTTAATAGCAGCGATGCTACGACCTGTATCCAAAAGTACACGACTGGACGTTCACAGATAACTTCGGTGAAAAACGAGAGAAGCGATGCCCTTGAATAAACATATTTTGACAGCGCAAGACTACGAATAGTTGCAACGTGTAACTACAGGAAAAGAGACAAGAATAGAAAGGAGCACTGACATCACACCTAAACAGTACACCATTTGAGCCATCTCTAGGGTGACATTGACCAAGCACGTGACATGGTTGAGAACCACAGATGTCTGCGTAGCACCAGGTGTCAGCATTGTAATAAAACGACTGTTGTTAGAAAGCTAGAGGATATATGCAATCGTGGACGATTTGCTTAATCGGTCACCCCGTTGATCGACGGGTCGCAGACTCGCAGGTTCGAATCACTGGTGTGCACGTGGGAAAAAGATTTCTTCTAGACTGTTCTTCTTTTAGCGCCTTAGGGATCGTTATGGTGACGCCGATGGCAAAAAGCTGCCGACATATAACTGTAATAAAAATATGACCAATACTTATCCGTGAGGCAGCTATTTCATAAGTCTGGGCCTGGAAAATAAACCCGTGCACGGTTTCCTTCCGGCGAGAGCGTCGACGCGTGACGACGTTGGAATCTTTATTGCATGCGGACTCACGCATGCGTGTCGCCCAGTTCTCATCGCACCCTCGTCTTGCAAGAAGAAAGGTCGCGCCGATGCGGCTGTTGCTCAGGTCAGGGAGCCACGAAGTCAGCGAGCGCTTATTAACGAGGCGCCGTTTCATGTGAGGCTCGTTATTGTCGAAAAACAGATGCTGGCTATGGGCGCCTCAGTGCTCGACGACGTCAAAAAAACTACGTCCACTTTTATACGTTACGCCATGACATTAGGGATTAGGTTGGAGCACAATTCCACTGGAATGTTACAACGCGAATTTGCATGAAATCATAGAAATGGTATACAACACGGAAGTAAGTGTCTGCTCACAGAAGTAGCTTGGTGTTTATGTACATGAATATAGAAGAGCTTATACAATATCTGTCAGAGTTTGACAGCTAAAGCACCATTTAACGTAAATGCCTCCAGGTCGACGCTTAGCTGTACAGCTCCATCACGATGCCTAACGTTCATTACTATGAATTATCGATAATTAAACATGCCCTTGTGATAATTCATACTTGTGGTAGCTGTAGTAGTTAAGGGTGAGAGCGGAACCAAGGAAAGCGGTGTGATTGCCAGAAGAGCGTGACTAATTGTGCGCTGAACTTGAGATAAAGTCGCCTACTCACAACATTTTAATGCTATTGAACGCCTATACCCTATAAGAGCAAAACACAACGGGTGTCGTCTCCCGGTTTGGCAGGCCACAATTTTTCGCGGGTTGAGCCTAAGCGGGGAATACAGAGTTATATCCAGGCGGAGCAGGTGCGTTGCTTTATGCGTTACCGTACAATTTTCGTTATTCATAGATTGAGTGGGCTACGTGGACGCGATGGGTAAGCTCGCCACCTGGCAGTGTGCTAAGACGCTGGCTGAATTGCACTTCTCTTAACGGAAACACACGGAATAGGACAGACGAGTAGAAACGATGCATGGAAGGAACTCATTGTGGATGCCACGCTCATGATGACTTAGTAAACTTTATGAAGAACATTGTGCGAGGACATTGGTAAATACAAAGGCGTGTTTGTAAAGCCTACAAAGTATGTGCCCATGGCGCAGTGTACAGCATGCCCGTCATGCATCGCTGATCGAGGGGTCAAGAGCTCTACACCAGTTGACAGAATGTTTTCATTGTCTTCTGATCATGCATATTTCTTCGAGTCATTTTGTGACGGAAATGCATCACCAAATTCATGGTGGACCCCAGCATAAAATATTTTTATGTGGAATGCAAAGATGCTGTATTCGCATCACTTTTGGTTGTTTGAAGAAATATATTCATTCGGAACCACGCTTGCCGCTCATTGCGCATGTTGTCGTGCATAAGCGCTATGCGCGCAAAAGTTTATGCAAAAAGAATAGGCCAAAGTGGTAGGCGCAGCCTCACAAAAGTATGACGCCCATTCTGATTTTGGTAAGCCGTGTACACAAATCGCACTTACGTCCTCACTACATCGCAGCCTCAGCTGTGGCGTGGAAGCAAGACGAGTTTATTGTGTTCTTAGTGCACTGTATTCCTAGTATGCCAAGTGTTCGGCATTGGATGAGTTTTAGCGCCACAGTGACCCTTCGCAGGAAGCCGGTATCTAACTGTTTCGGCGTAACTGGGCGTGACAGACCTCGGAGGCCAGTTGGGCATGGAAGGGACTCTATTGAGCCGCAGCAGGAACGGGTCAACTGCCGCACCGGAATCGTGTTATTGTACGTGTCCTGGAAGAAGTGTCCATGGTCGCTTAAGCAAACGCTGCGAGGGCAAAGAAACTACTGTGCGGGCGTCTCTCATAATCATATAGTGGTTTTGGGACGTTAAACCCCACATATCAATCAAACTACTGTGCGTGCAACACTGGACAATTCTCGTAGAATGTCTATTGAAAGTACAATTGTTAAGTGCCAACTACGCTAATCCGCGAAGTACCTTCTACACGTGCGTAAGGCAGCCCACGAACATACGTTTGAACGCTCTGTAATGGGTGGCGCCTCTAAATACACACTCGTTGTGCACTTTACATGTTTTGACGGCTGGCGAAATTCTACACTTTTTCCACTTATTATTGCGTGCGTTGAAGAAATTCGTTCTACTCCATGAACGAAAGAAGGGTAAACATAAGGCTTTTCTTTCTTGGTTATACAGAATATGAATGAGAGCTTCTACTACATGACAACCATAATATTCTTTTTTAAATTAGTTTCGACCCTTGTCGTGCCTCTGCAGTAGAACACCTGA